CACCTACTCTGACAACCAGCCCGGGGTCCTGATCCAGGTCTACGAAGGGGAGAGAGCCATGACCAAGGACAACAACCTGCTAGGAAGGTTTGAGCTGACGGGAATCCCACCCGCTCCAAGAGGCGTTCCGCAGATCGAAGTGACCTTTGACATCGACGCCAACGGCATTCTGAACGTGTCTGCGGTGGACAAGAGCACTGGCAAAGAGAACAAGATCACCATCACCAACGATAAGGGCCGACTGAGCAAAGAGGAGATCGAGAGGATGGTGCAGGACGCTGAGAAGTACAAAGCTGAGGATGAGCTGCAGAAAGACAAAATAGCTGCCAAGAACTCCTTGGAGTCCTACGCTTTCAGCATGAAGAGCAGCGTGGAGGACGAGAGCTTGAAGGGCAAAATCAGCGAGGAGGACAAGAAGAAGGTGATAGACAAGTGTAAAGAGACCATCAGCTGGCTGGAGAACAACCAGCTGGCCGACAAAGACGAGTACCAACACCAGCAGAGAGAGCTGGAGAAGGTCTGCAACCCCATCATCAGCAAGCTGTATCAGGGAGGGATGCCCACTGGTACCTGTAGACAGGAGGCAGGAGCCCACAACCAGGGGCCCACTATTGAAGAGGTGGACTGAAGGAGCCCTTCATGTGGACTCATCTCCTGGACTGTTTACAGGTTCTACTGGACCTGTCAGAACCTTGGACTCTTTTCAGACTAAACACATGGTTGTTTCCATGTCCTCCTGATAAATATCTCAGCTCTGTTTAAGGTTGTCTTACTTAAATTGTTTATAAATAAAACCTCTCATGGAAAGAATGGTGGGACTTTTTTAACATTGAAGTATTTTGATGTTTTTAAATACTTGACGTCTGAATGTTTTCATCTGTAAAATGCTGGACATTAATAAAGATGAAAAAAAGAAAGTATGAGACTCTGGTCTGTTTATTGCTGTAAAACCTTGGATTATTACTAGTTTAATCTCATAAGCTTCACATTAGATGAGCTTTTTCAAAAAAAATTTACACACTCTGAATAGCCAAAAGTTTTCTTTCAGGAGGTCTTAGTCAAGACATATGATTGATTTTTTTTTTTTTATTGATAGTCAAACTGTTGCAGATGTGTTAAAATGGATGGTAAAAGGTAGTTAACTTAACAGTGGGATTGCTGTATTAACCTTGTAAAAGTTTATCCAGAGATAACCCTGATCTGAAACACGTTGGAGTGAAAACAGAACCTCCTCTGACCGCTAGGGGGCAGTGAACAGCCTCTCAGTGAAATCAGAGGTGGGTAGAGAAGCAAAACAGGGACTCAAGAAAAAGTAGTTCTACTTCAACATTTAATTATTAAAAATAAAAATTATTAATCTAGGAAACACTTGGCACAAAAATTGTATTTAACATTATGTCAGAATAAAACTTTCTCCAAAAAACTACTTTTCCCAAATATATATATTT